TCTTCTTTGTGTTCCATATGTCAGATTCAAGGCAATAACCAGCACCAATGTATGAGGTCTGCTGTAGTTCAACAATAAAAAAAAAAAAAAGCCTAATGTAATTAATAGACATACAGTGGATGTCCTGCCTTTAACTTGATTAATGGTTTACTATGAGGATTTGCTTTTGTTCATTCGTCCTTTCTTCTCCCACAGTGAACTTTCAGCTACTATTACTTGCGTACTGGTTTTTGTAAGGTCATAATAAAGTTATCACGGATATGTTTATGTACGTGGAACTTGATTTGAAAAAGCATCTTCAACTGAAATCAGTTATTGGCTCAAGAGACTGTAATTATTAAGTACTTAAATAAAATGTAGTTACTGCAAATCTGCTTTCATTGTGTAAAACATTGATTCGCTCCATAATGTGTGTAAGTTGAGATAATATAATAAAATGGAAATTTGGATATATGTGTCACAGAGAAAATGTTTGTGCAAAATGAGGTGGTCACAGAGTATAATTCCATTTTTTGTTGTTCTTTTTATTGTTTGGCATTTACATTCCTCAATTTCTATTTCCTCTCTTTTCAGGAGCCTGATTCTGAATACACCGTGTTTCAGGTAAAATTCTTTTCATAAATACAATTATTAGATACAATCATTAGGAAGAATTTCTGATACACTGAATAATACTTGTTTTGTTGTTAAATCCTTAATGGCTTAAATTTGTTTTTCATCATTGGTAAGGCAGTACATTTGATAAGGGGTATTTTAAATAGGCAGTTTTTATATTTGATAGAAGTTTATTTCTCTCATATATTTCCTATAGGTTTATTCAGCAGTTCAGTAGCTTAGTGCCTCCTAAAAGCTAAATTGAATCTGTCTTGAACTGAATGACCTTCATCTACTGACAAGATTAGGAAAAAGTCAATGTGTATTTCATAGACAGAACAATGTTTATGCTCTTAGGGCTCACTTTCATGTTTCATTTAATGCAGTGTAATGGTGGGCTGCTACCCACGCCCTTCCTGTTCCTACAGCTCATTCTCACTGCTTACCTTGTGTAGAGTCTGGTAGTCTTGAAGCTGCATGATGATGCTTTGCATAAGTGATGGAAGACTGAAAGTAATTGGTTAGTTTTCACTCTGTCCACATTAGCACTAGATTACTGCAGTGGGAAGAATAGTAATGTGCAGGTGGTGGCATCTTTCGGCTCCAGCCCACAGTCAGAAGAGATTAAATGTAATGTGAAATTGCATCTTTAAACACAGCTCAATAACATATTTTACAAGTCTCCGATTACATTCCAATGAAGTCATGCAAGTTGTTTGCATACAAAATGGTTTCAGTGAAATACTGCCAGATATCTTCTTGACTTTAAAGATTATACTTCACAAGGTAGTTGTTGCATTCTGGGGTTTTCATTGTGTATGGAATAATATTTATGATAATGGAAAGGATTATTGGAGAATGAAACCTCTTAGAAATGTGCGTTACCAGATTCAGAAAATACATTTACCTTTAGATTTTAAGCTTATCTTTTTTTTAATTTGGTTCTTGGACTTTTCAGGAACAAAAGGAAGATACTCGATTCGGTGACAAACCAGTTCTCAGGAACTAAGTGAAAAACACTGTCACTTTTCCTTCTGGAGTCTAGACTTAGGAAATACTATATCACATTTCTGTACTCTAGGGTACTTAAGATATTGCTTCCTTCTTTAATTACTATTAGTTATTGTAAAGTTCTGTTCGATTGAGTTAAGCAAGCTAAATCTGTTATTATATTGTGAATATGTGGGTTGTCTGAAATGAGCTGTCCTTTTCTTGTTCCTACTCTTTAAGTGCCCTTTTCACAAAAATGCAAGTCGTCTTCATAAATGCCAGACATGTTGCTTGTCACAAAACAAAATTATCGATCCGGCAAAGGGAGAGCAGATAATATAAATGGAATCTGAGGCAACAGTTCGAGTGGACAAACTTGTGCTAAGTCGAGGTGTAAATAATAGTCCTGTGGTTACTCAGAAATGTGTGCATTTATTTTTATGATTATAAATGAGCCTTCCTCTCACTGTTGGCAGTGTGGTTCTTCCAGTTTTGTGCTGCTGTTATTCATTTTAACTGAAGTTTTTCAGCTGAAGTTCTTCTGCATTAGTTTCAGATTAAACCCTTACAGGTTTTCACTGAGTGAAAAATCTGTGCGTTGTACTATAGTAAATTACTAAAACTGTGTATTTTTTTATGAACAGAATTGTTAAAATTTTTCTGGATAACTAAAACCGCAACACAGAAAGTAAGCTTCATACAAGGATAAAGTAGCTATAGGTAATACCAGGACTACTGGTACAAATTCTTTATAGAAAGTCAGCAAAAGTTGAAATTACTGAGCTGTTAAGAAAATCCTTGAACCTTGCATGAGTTTTAAGTCTCGTGATAAAAGACACCTTTACTTTATGAACCAAAAAAAAAAAATCAAAATTTGTTGGGGAGGGTCTGTGTAAACAGAGAAGTGTACATCTCTCAGGTTTTCTTTTTAAAAGTAAGACAATAGCCATATGCCGTAGTTCTAATGAATAAGTAGCAAATTTTTAATGAATGAAAAGGGTGTCGGAACTTTCATTTAATTTTTTGGAAAAAAAGATCTTTTTCCTACATCTCCCTTTGTATTTGTGTGTCAGAAGACATTTCTAATTCCTTTTCCCACACCTTGATTTTTCAGATATTCAGCATAACTGTGTGCATGCATAGAAATGATACTTCTGTTTCATATGGGTCTTGTAACTAGTAGTTAGGAATTTTGAATTGTCTTCTTGTCTCCCAAGGTAAAGGTCATCTTTCTATAGTTTAAGTAATGAATTTGACATTTTTCTCTCTCTTGCTGTTTTGATCAGGAGTCCTGTAACAAGCACTGCTGCAGGCAATACTCTAGTCTACAGACTGATGTTTAATTAAGGAATAATATGCGATATTTGAATTTTTTGTTGGCTGTGAAGCCTGAGACTAGGAGCTGAAGGCTGGAACAGCGGTCTAAGGAATCTATTTTTCTATGACAGACATTTGTCCAGTAATGACAAAGAGATATGTTGCTTTTAAAAACACACTATTTCATGTTTGTTATTGGAAAAATCACAGTGATATACTTATGTCTATGTTAAGAACTGGCCCCAGTTTTAGCAATTAGTGTAGAGAAGTTGCTACTTTCAATTCCCAGGAAAAGATCGTTACTGTGGGCAGCTTCTCTTCTCTTTACTAGGAAATTAGCCTGTGTTCGGCTATACTGAGAGCTCTAATTTCAGCATATTCCCAATATACACATGGTTATGTCTTCAGACATATATGTCTTTGAAAAAAGCAGAGTACCATCAAGGTGTTAAAAATTCAACAAACTAAATACTTCTATAGAATAATGAAAAACAGTTAAGGGTGTTGAACATCTAACTGCAAATCTCAATGCTAATTAAAGGTTGTCACCCTACTACATAAGAAGAAACTAAAAGATAATAAAGCAGATCTGGATTATGTCTGTCTGGCCTAGATTCAAATCATCCTGCCCTGTTCCTTTCTCTTCATACTTGAACAAAGGTTTCTAATTGTGGTTGAACTGGCTGGCTAAATCCCTCCTTTACTTCTGCTTGGAAGAAAGCACTTTTAAAAAGGAGAATTAAATATCTCAACATTTTTAGATATACTTTCTTTTTGATAGACAGTTATAAAGTTGCATGGAAGTATGAGGGAAGTGTAGAGGGAAGGGATGGTCTGAGACATGATGAATGAGAAGTGTCCCATTAAATGATTACTTAAATTATTAAATAAGCCTGAGGTCTAGATCTTCTCCTACCTCTTATTTAAAGAACAAGTGTTTCCATTTGTTTGACCTTCAGTTCTATTAAGGTAGCATCAGTCTGTTTCTATTTTTGAAATGTCTCCTTAGCAAATATTAAACATGCTTTTCCACCAAATTGCTGTACAATTAGAAACAAATCTAATTGTTTTGGCAGTGATTTTTACTCTGAAAAATTTATGATGATCTGTTCAATATCTGAAGGAAGATCGGTGTTGGTCTTGTGGCTCCCTTTATCGTGCCAGCTCTATGAGTACATTACAGGCATATTAAGTTATCAGAGTGGTTGGATCTGCACTTACTTTGTTGGTACTTCTGTATGGCTGCCACTGGTTTTTCTTTTCCCCATTGATTTGGTGTCTCTATGGTCTACACAAAGCTTGTCACATAGGCTAGAATTATGCTTGCCTTTCCACACTGCTCATACAATCCTCCAAGACATTTAATGAAGTAATTTGTCAGTTCATTTCACTAACATGTACTCCAATAATCTCTCAATCTGAGATGCTTAATCTATACATTTACACATTTTCTAGAGCTGATGCTTTGAACAAAGGAATTTTAGATTATCTTTCTAAAGGCTGTCGCTTGTGGATAGTAATGTACTGTATCTTTAACTGCTGGTTAAACGGTTTTCCTTGTTTCTCTACAGATGCCTGGGGAGGGCATTACTTTGCATTACAGCAGTTTACTTACCTTCCTCTCCTATCCCAATTTAAATAAGGTGTGTGTCAGTGGTGAATTTTGAATGGCACTGGTGGCTGGGGATTTCTTCAAAAGCACAAGATCTCAGAGAGTTGCCTGTGACCTAAATTAGTCATAACTTTTCATGAGGCATGAAATTCTGTCCTCCAAACTCAGTGACCATAACTGTTCCACTCCAAAAGAGTTGTCTAAAGTCTTGGTCCCCTTTCCACTTCCGTCAGGCAACTGATGGATATACCCAGCTGTTTAAGTCAATACCTTATTCAAGCCTATTAAAACTGTGAAGGGAATAATAATAAAAAAATGGCAAAATTGCTGATTAGATTATTTACTTGGTGTCTTGAAGATATTTTTCTTTTTACTTTGTCCTTATTCAGGCTGCCTGGAGCTTGAAAACACGAGCTTTGACAGAAATGGTGTACGTGGATGAAATTGATATGGATCAAGAAGGAATCGCAGAGATGATGCTAGATGAAAACGCCATTGCTCAAGTCGCACGTAAGAACGATTTTCACTTAAATACATTGAAGCAACAAGAGCTCTTTTGGTCAGGATTGTCATCTAGCGTAAAATAGTACATACTGAGGTGACCTGATATGGCTTTTAGCTGTTGCTACAAGAAGAGTTTTAGATTGTTTTATGGTTGCATGGCAATGTTGAGATACCCCGCATGACCTTGATGTAGAACCCCCCCATCAGACGGGGGTTCAGACAAATAGTGTTTTGTCAGCTTTTCCTCTACATCTCTGTACTCACTAGCTCTTTTCCATCAGTGCATTGATTTCTTTTACTCCTTTCTGGCTTCTTTAGGCACTGTGGGAAACTAGAGAAAAATATATGCGCTTGATGGACTGTGAATCTCGTCCATATGCCTGTACTGTAGGCAACAGTCTGGCCAAATCTGACATCACCTTTTTGTAATATTTCCCGCAAACATTTTCTGAACTCATTTTCTCTCTTCTGCTTTTCTCTACTTTTTCGTCTCTTCTTTCCCAGGGCAGTTCTTCAGCCCTGTCGTCGTTTCTTGTATGCAGCTCTTTTCACCTTCGTCAGTTCCCTTTTAAGTGGGCAGTAATTAGTAGTCTTCCACTACTTTTTGGCATTATTTGTATTTTTCTCTGTTTCTTTAGTACAATCCACATGGGAATTTTTATGCATCTTATTAGATGTGGCTCTCAACCACCTACCATGTCAAGGAATTCAAGGGAAGAACTGGATGTAGGCCAGAACTAACATTTGAAGCATTAAAAGCTTTTCTCATTTGGATAGAAGTAGGCAATTGCGTATCTATCTGATTACATTTTTAAAATTGTCATTACATGCTTGGTCACATATAAACAGTCAGGCAGTACTCAAGTTGTGTTTATACATTATGATAATCTAATTACATGTATCTCTCTTAAAACAGCATAATAATATAATTTAGACTTTGATTTTATGCCCCTTGTGGTAGAGGCCATCTGCCAAGAAAAATCATTTGATGACTATTATTGAGAAATAAGGTGTTCTGGAAAAATACATTCATACTATATTTAAACTGAAAAAAGGTGACTTTCTGGATAGTGTGTCACAGATGTCAAAGCCAAAGAAAATCAATATGGTACTGTAGCCTGCACTCCTGAATCATTGAGATAAGACTTTGCTATTCGTGCTTCAAATCCACTAGATGTGCCTGAGCTAGTATGTAGTTTTTCAGAAAGTATAAGAACTTTCCACAGAGCAAGAACGCCCTGTAGTCTTTAGTAAATTATTAAATTTGCTAGCTTTTATCAGTGTATGCCATATCTTTAGTGGGAATTATCAACTATAGCTCCAGCTGTTGCTTCTTTGTGTACATTTTAAGCCTGATAAGAAGTCTTTATTTTCACAGGTATATTTCCAAAGTAAATAGTTAAAACAATCATTAAGTCATCCAGTGATCTTTTCTTTGATAAGCTAAACAATCTTCTCATTCTGAGGTATATCTTTTAATTTTTGAGTTGAGTCTTGAAACTCTCTTCTTAACCCTTTCCAATTAATCTGCATGCTTTTTCAGTTGTAATCACCAAACCAGACAACAGTCCGCTGACACATAGAAAATAAGTTTTTCTTCTACAGCTTGATTTTACTTTCTTTATACATCTGAAGTGTTTTTCTGTTACACTTTCATAAAAAAGGTAAGCACAGATATCACTAGGGAGGGTGGAAAGAGGACAGAGCCAGTCTTTGCAATGGTGCCCATTGACAGGACCAGAGGCAAAGGGCACAAACTGAAACACAGAAGGTTCTGTCTGAACATCAGGAAACACTTTTTTTACTATAAGGGTGACTGAGCACTGGCACAGGTTGCCCAGGGAGGTTGTAGAGTCTCCCTCCTCAGAGATATTCAGAAACCGTCTAGACAGGGTCCTGGGCAGCTGGCTTTAGGTGGCCCTGCTTGAGCCTGGTTGGACCAGATGACCTCCAGAGGTCCTTTCCAACCTCAACCATTCTGTGATTTTGTGATCACTTCCACTTTTACACATGATTTAATAAAAATGGGTGCTTGCTGACTGTGGGCTTTTTCTTTTGCTGTTAAAGTGTGTTAGCCATAGTTGGTCTTGACTCAGGGTCTTCTACTGCGGCAAATCTTCCAGGATATCCTCCCCCACTATAATTATAGCTTACAAACTTAAAAATGCATAGTCATACCTCCCATATTACAACTGGTTTTGTCTGTACTTCACTTACTAAGCAGTTCAAATCCTTTTGCATCAGTTACATGTCCATTTCAATTTTGCATCTGTCCTTATCTTATTTTCCAGATTAAACTATCCTAATAATGATTTTGCTCTCAGTCTTGTGTTATTAAAAATTACTAAATTGTATAGGGTCCACTGGAAACAACTACTTTTCTATGGTTCCTCTTCACACATATATAATGAAATCTGTCTTCCACCAGTTTTTAAATTTTTATAATTTTGCTGTGTTAATTTTCCATCTATCTTGTTTATTAATAAAAATGTCCTATAGCATCATTTTACAGAAAATTCCCAGTATGTTACCTTTGGACTCTTAACACCATCAATTTTATCAGCTAAGGTTGTAATCTTGTTTAAAAGTGTTACCTTGACAACATAGTTTTCAGAAACTCATACTAATTGGCATTGTGGATAATCACAGCTATTTTATTAACTAGGGAGTTAAAGGAGTCATCTAAAGTCATCACTAACTGCTGAAGTTACGCTCTTAAATTCTGTCGCTGTTAGTGGCCATATGCACTGCTGTGGCCTCTTGATGCCTATTCGTAGCTAGTTCAGTTGGGATTCTCGAAGTAAGGACTGAGTTGCCTAGGTGAGATGAAGGGAACTAAATCTTGTAAGCATTCTCCCAGTCTGTTGCCTACCAAAAGCACAAAACAATTGTAGTTATTAAAAAACATGTCTGGAAAAGGGATTTTAATGCCCTACATTTTTTATATTATTGCAATAGTTAAAAAAAAAAGGCTCAGCAAGTGGAAGACTAGTTCATTGTCTGCTAGTCTGAAAAGTTGAAAGCCACTTTCTCCATTTCTCAGAAGAGTGCCCTAGCTATCATGTTAGAAACTCTGCTGGGTGGACTGTCCACCCTTTCTGTTGTGGAGTAAAAAATTCAAGATTCACAGGACTATAAAGAGCAAGTAGGCAACAGAGATGCTAAGTACGGCCAGCCACAAGAGAGAGAATCTTGAGTTTTGGTCCATATTTTAACATCACTTACATAGTTAGTTGGTTTTACCAAGGAAATCATGGTTAATATCTTTTTTGTATTATTTAACTTTAAATACAGCTGTAGCCAAGTGGCTACTATAATATTGGAGTCAGGGGTGCTTGGTATCAGCATGGATTAAAAAAGTCAGAAGGTATTTAGATTGAGTTAGAAGTTATCAATTTGGACATGTCTACTAAACTTGCTTAAGCAGTGGACTGGTAGTATCTCAGAGGTAGTTACAACTTGAGGGCGGGAGAGAGAGAAGACTGAAAAAGGGCAAACTTGGGGCTTATCTTGGGGAAGAAAAGAAGGAAGGAAACTACCTATTTTTTTAACTTCAGTTTTTGGAGACACTTGGAATAAAAGCAGTTCACAAGTATCTAGGAAGTGAGTAGATGAGTAACAGTGATTTGTCAAGGACTGGCTGTGTCAACTTAAATCTCATTTCTTTCTGTACACGGTAACAAGTAGTGAACAGACCAGAAGGTATAGATGTCATATCTTGCTTTTAACCAAGTTTTTAAAACCATCTCTTAGACATTCACTTAGGAGGTTAGAAAAACTGACTATAATCGAGTATCAGTGAAGGTGATGGAAAATCTATGTGCAGAAACTAGTAATTCTTAATGATCCACTGTCAAAACAGAAATATGTGAAAAGGGGGACCCTTCATCTGTTCACCTGGGCTCAAGCCAATTCACTATTTTCATTGGTGACCTTTGGATATGGATGAGTTTGAACTTTACTGTGCCCTAAATTGTTGGTGGGGTCCCTACATGGGTCTAAAGACATGAGATACCATTCTCCGTCTGCCCTGTAGCTGAAGGTTTTGGTTTACTTACTCAAGTCTGGGTGCTATTTTAGTCCCAGATGGAAAATATACCATTTCAAATAAGCATGATCTCATTGTTCCAGTAACCTTTCTTACTTCAATGCTATCTGTTGCTCCTAAGATGTTCTTTAGAATTGTTGCGGGTTAACCCCGATAGGCAGCTAAGCCCCACACAGCTGCTCGCTTGCTCTCCCCAAGTGGGATGTGGGAGAGAATGGGAATGATCAAAGTGAGAAAACCATGTTCATAGCGGCAGGTTTCTTGCAATAGTCTGACAATTTATCGGTAGTACAGTGCAATATTTGTTTTTTGTCTTCTTTGTCTAGTGCTATGTCCCCTTAGTTTGAACAAAGAAATTTCCAGTTTATTGTAAGACACAATCATTTTTTAAAGTCCCCTGGACAAGCATGTAGTATCTCAATGTGAAGTGAGAAATGCTCTTACTTTATAGGACCAGGAACATCTTTGAAACTCCCTGGAACTAGCCAAGGTGGAGGCCCCAGCCCAGCCGTTAGGTATGTGATTGTTTATTTTTTAAAAATGTGACTAGTTACAAATGAGCAAATCCTAAATTTAACTTCTGAAAATGAAATGCTTCAGATATAAGTGTTTAAATTCTCTATCGATAAATACCATCAACATAAGGATCATGTGCTTAACATCTTCAGGCCAGTAACCCAATCAGGAAGACCTATTACAGGATTTGTGAGACCCAGCACGCAAAGTGGACGGCCAAGTACTATGGAACAGGCTATAAAAACACCTCGAACAGCTCTCACAGCTCGTCCAATTACTAGTGCTTCTGGGAGATATGTCAGGCTAGGAACGGTGAGTTGTTTGTTTTCGGAATGATGGCTTTCTTGGTCATAGTATCTGGTATAGTGACATTGTAGTTGACTTAAAAGCTGCATCTAAACTCAAGTTTGGAGGAGGTGAGCATTTTTAATTTTTTGCTGAAATTGTTTTCAAAGTAGAGTTTGAAAATGTTACTTCTTGTTAGTTTGCTAATCTGTTTATATAAAAAATGTACATAAATTCACAAGTTCATAAAAATTCACATAAATTCCAAATTCACAAGTTCTGTGAGTCTCATTCACTGACGGCCATGAAAAGACTATGACGTGATTTCACCGTAAGTATGTTGAAACCTTCTCCAAGTTTTGCGGTTTACTACAAAACAATTACTAATCTCTCAGTGTCTGTCACTTCAGAAGATAAGGAAAATAAACTATACTGGTTTTATCCTGTTCTATTGGCAAAGTGAATAAACTGTAACTAGCATGAATATGTAATAGAGATTGACATCACAATAATGGCAAAATATGGTATCTTCTCACTATCGCAGGTTTGAACTGATCTTCCTAAATCTTTCTTGAAGATTTTTTTGTTATGTATCCCAACTACCTTCAGTCCACCTAGCAGTTAGTCCAAGCTACATGCTTAGGCACATTATGGAAATAGTGGAGAGAGGGAAGAAAAAGGTAGTTCCAGAAGGTAATTCATGCAGCCTCTTTCAGGGACTGTATGGGAGTAGGACAAATTCCTGGCTTTCAGAAAAGATGAAATTCAGTAAGAAGAGTCTGTACTGCACAGTAGAGCAATGCATCTACAAATGCTTTGTTTGGGTTTTTTGTTTTTTTGTATACTGCTAATATTTTGAAAATTTTCAGGAAAAGTGTGGGGGATCTTCCCACTTAAAAACTTCTTTCTCCCCTTCAGGCTTCAATGCTAACAAATCCAGATGGCCCTTTCATAAATCTGTCTCGACTGAATTTAGCAAAATATGCTCAAAAACCCAAACTGGCAAAGGTATGTAACTATTTTGATTAATGTTTTGATATCTTTTTCTTATTTTCTGACATCATGCTCATTTAACGGGATGGGGGATACAAACAATGATGAACTGTGTTGTAGATGTAAAGTTCAGAAAAATAATGCGTTACTTATCTTTTGACGGTGGTTACCAGACTTGAAATTGAAAATATGTCTGAAGAGGTTATGTTGAAAGTATAACCTAGGAAGAACATTTGTGTACAATAAAATATTCCATTGGTAAATAACTTTGAACTATGCAGACAGGAGTGATGAAGGGCAACTAAAAAAAAAAGCCAGGAGGAAAAAAACCAGCATTAGTGTCCAGAAATGCGGTTCTGTGTACAAATAGATGGCAATCCTGGCCTACAAATATTCAAATGGTTTGGATTTTTCCTTTTGATTTTATGGCATGAGTTAACACTTTCTATGTAAAAAGACTTCATCTTTTTGTTCAGAATTCTTCTTCATTTTCAGTTAAGATCTTATGATTGACAGCCATTGAAACTGAGACTATCCGCCAGTAGAACAGATTTATCCAGGTTACCTGCCCAATTTACGGGTTTCAGCTCTGAGTGGAAGGGACCTGAAAGTTGTGTAGTGATTTATCACTCTGTGGCCTTTCAGTTGAAGTTGTATAGATGAAGATGTTTTCTGTGCATACTTTGTTCACAAAAAACAACTGTTGGGCTGAGACCAACAACTCATTTTGCACAAGGTATCAAACGACTGTCAGACACGCTCTCAGGAGCTATATTTGGCTAGCAACCTAGAGTTGAAAGAACCTGTATGTATTCAGTCTATTTTGAGAAACGTAGTGGTGAACACTGTTAGAAGACTAGCAGTACCTAATAATCTGCTGGTGGACATTAGCTCCTCCAGTCCAAAACTTTAGTTAATAATTTCTCATAAACGATTAGCAAATTCCTTTGCTTTTTAAAACCTGATCTAGACTGTTGTAGGGCATTGCTTTTCAATGTGGTTTTCAAAGGAAATAAATTTTGTGTGATTGCACTGTGTTCTTCACCTGCTCCTTACATCTCTGTCCCTTGGCCTCTTAACCAAACTAGGCAGAAGAATAGATATCAAATATAGTAAGTTCTAGTCTGGCGAGTTAATGAAAGACTTCCAAACTATCATCTGAGGGCAGTTTCGAGTCAGTTCTTTATCAGTTCTGAAAAAACTGCAGGCCTTTTGTCCAATTATGTCCTTGCCAGCAATCAGCCAGCACACACATTATTCTAAATCCATCAGTCTGTAAAATAGGGAGAATGTAAGAAACCTGGGAAAGATTAAGAAACACAAGACACAGCCATAAGAAACTAAGCTTAGTTCTTCTGCTTGAAGACAGCTAGCTTTTAATTGTGTTTGGTAACTCTATATACTATTTAAGTAGGTAGGTTAGCTTTCAGATGAAATACTTATTCTCAGCAACAGCTCTCAGGAATGAGAAACATATATGTTTTTAACAATTTTTTTTCATTAGCATTTTCTGGGACAATGGGGTAGCTCTGTCTTCCGTTTTGTATGAAAAGAGGCTTAAGCCAAAAAATGTAAAGCAACAGTCATAGAAACATCCATAGGCAGTGAGTGTACTTGTCAGTATTATAGAGCTAATACATTATGACATTAACATTTCACACAGAATGTAAGATCTAAGTTTAAATTTGGAGCTATGTGGATTTATGACTTTTTTTAAACAAGACGGCATTAAGGCTAAAGCCAAAGCAGGAGGTGAGACTGCAGACTGCACTCTGTGTTAAGAATCATTGATGAAGGTTTTAATACTCTTCGAGCTGTCACCTCTCCCAGGTGCAAAAAGATGATAACTCTTGCAACTATTAAATTCATATAATTAGCCTGTGTATTCATGTTGGTATATACTCCTCCTACATACTTATTCCTTATGTGTTTGCAAAGTATACTCATCGCATCTTTTTTTTTAAGTTAGATTATCTATCTTTTCATTGCACGACTAGGTCTTCTGACATTTTGAAGTATACAGGACGGTGGCTTCTCTCTGACTAGCATCAGCCGTGTTAAGGACTATCGCAGGAAACCCCATAGTAGATATATGAGGTATCACCTGTCGCCAGAGAGCCTCTGGTAAATCTCAGTTAGCAACTGGTTTATGGCATGAAACAGGAAGTTTTATCTTTTTTAGCTTGTGGATTTTTAATAGAGTTGTTAAGATAACTCTAGATATTTTTATCCAAGTAAATGTTCAGTCATTTAAATCCTTTTGAAGGTCAGGGCCTATAGATAACAGCAGTAAATTCCTCGTGCCAGCCATGCAAGAACACATTTCTTTTACCGCTTTAGATTTACTCACTTTTACTGAATGCTTCACTGTTATTAAACTAGAGCAGGAAATGTTCTGCTACTTCTTTATTTTCTATTCTTTTGTTATCCACCTATTCTAATCTTCCTATAAATGTGTTTTTATTTATAATTCTTTAATGTCTTTTAATCATCTGTTCAGAATCTTTTCTGACCAAAAGTAGAAGAAAAGTAGGTTGTAGTTTACTTTCCTCACCAGACATGACAATTCATTAGTAATTCTCTAGTTTCCTTAAGGTAAATCTTTTAAGAATTTTGTCTAAGAAAAGCTGACAGAAGAGTCATGGAAGCCCTTAGAAGACTGCTGTCTCGTTCTGTATTTCCTTCCTCAGAGGGCAATATTTTCTTATAGCTTTTTATAATGAATAATAAGAATTTAGAAAAACATTCTGTTATTTTGAAACAATTAAGACCTAGGATTTGGATGCAGAAAAAGATCAAGGTTCAACTCAGTTGAACCTTGTGTTACTAGCACTCATACTACATTTCTGGGAATAGAGGCTTCCAGTCTCCATTTAGCTATCTAGTATCTTTCAGCATCATTTTATTCACTTAAAATGCCACCCCCATTACTTGTTATATACTCTTCTATATTTTAGTGCAGAACAGCTACAAGGTAGTATGACTTGCTTAGCTTTATACAGCAGTAAAGATGCAGTTATATTGCCATGCAATTGTTGTGGGCTTATGAGCAGTTACTGCAGCATAGCCGATGCATGTAACTTCTTTAAGCTTTGGTATTATTATGGTGTGTTTGAGTTTCAGAAGCACAATATTGTTAGCATTTATCATTTACAAATAAAAAATATTTTTTTCCTTTACAGATCCCAAAGTTCTGTAGGGTTTAGAGTTTTTTTTTTTTCCCCTAATGCAAAATTTGTTCAGCTTACATCCTTAATAAACCTATGTTTAATTCCAGTAGATTTTGCGCTATATAAGCACCTAACTATACATTGCAAAAAGTCTTTTTTAGATCACTTGTTGATTTTACAGTTAAAAAGTAATGAAAATGGTACCGGGTTTTCAAATCTATATTCACTTTCAAATTATAGCTGCCTCTTTTTTTTTTTAAAGTGACTTTAAGGAACAAAGACAAGAGACAATTCCACTAATCTCTTGCAACAAATTAAGAATTAAAATGCTTTCCTGTAATAACAATGTAGCACATCTATAGTTTTTGTCTATTCAAGTTTTAATTAAATGTAAATGTCAGCAGTTGTGATGTGTGAATGTGATTGCTTTCACAAAGAATTAATTTCTGCCTAACATAATCAAGATTCTGTATTCCTCTAAAATAATATTATCAATTTTTATCTTCAAATATGACAATGTTTTAAATATTCTTCTGACAGGCATTGTTCGAATATATTTTTCACCATGAAAATGACGTAAAAAATGTGAGTAATTCATATGTTTCATTTTCAGTTTTTATTAAGTATCATTCAGTTATTTCTGTCAGTATTCTGCTAACTAAGGATCCAGGTAGTATGTCACATCTGAGTACAGAAGTGAAGCATTAAAAGCTGTTTAAGAGAGAGAAATAGTTTCTTACAGGGATGATAATGGGGGATGATAATTTGCAAATACCAAGATACAGATTGCTCTCTTTTTTGAGAAGCAAAACATTCTAATGCTTAAAACTAGGTCCCTCATCTATCAGTATAAGATCCTTGTATCTAATGATTTCATGTTAACAGAATTTACTGGAGCCTGAGCAGTAGCTGAAACTACATGTCAGGTAGCTGAACTGCCTAGAAAGTTCAGAGTTCCCAAGGCTTGAGAGTAAGCAGTAAGTTACGGAAGACTGTCCCTTAACAGAGGAAGGTGAAATATCTGACAAAATAGTTAGTGATTGAACTGAATATCATTTGACATTTTAAACTACTGAGATGATTGTTTAGGCATTTGGGTGAAAAGAAAAGAAAGATATTTGGTGAAACTGTGGAAAAATAAAATATCAATAGGACTTTGGACACTTTTTCTAGAAATTTAATTCCATAGTGCTGAGGTGTTTTGTGGCCTCAAGAGAAAGATTATATTGTCCATACGATTGTCTATAACGTTTATTCTCCAAAAGTTTTCCTAATTATACAGTTTCCCCTTTTACCCTATCCAAAATTTTTCTTCTGTGGTTCTTCATATGTTACTGCGCTGAATGGGTAAGATCAAGTTTGGGTACATATTGTTTAAACTTTCAGAAATCGCTAAAGGTTGCAGAACTTTTTTGGCAGTTCACCCAGGGAAATAATTAATTTATTCAATGAATAAAGTGTCAAAATATTTCATTACTGTGTTAGATATATGCACCCATTTGAAATGGAATCAAAATTTCTGCTTGAAGTTTGTTTGAAAGAACTGTTTGTGTCAATAATGCATAGCTGACTAAACAGTTACTGGATTTTCTGCAATACTACTAACTGGTGTGTGATTAGATCTGAAGTTAAACTCTCCAGTTAATCAATAACACACAAGAAAATATTTTGTTGTTGTTGACATAGATCAGAACCATTTCCAAATGTAACTGCTATGTGAAGCTTTTTAATCTAGTATCAAATGATTATAGTTGTACACTGTCAATTTATTGCATAGCATTCTTTTAAGAGGATTGAATTGCAATGCACTATTAATCCAAAATATGGTTGAAACAGTAAGTGCAAGTGTCAGAAATGTCAGAGAGAAATAGCAAGTAACATTTACATGTTCTGATTCTGAGTATGAAGAAAGTGCCTGGGTTTTATGCCACTAATAATTAAAATTTATGTTGTACGTTACTGAGAACTCAGTTAACTAAGAATAAAAGGGTCACTTGATAAGATGCCACACGTGCCTGTGACCTACACTTTAAGGACATGCAGGATCTCTAGGCTAGACAGATAATTTCATATAATGGAAGGAATTTTCCAAGCACTCCAGAAAAAAAATTGTAAGATGTTTTTACACTGTACTGCATGTATTTTGAAATCCTTGCTGAGAATCCTGAACCACTGTCTTGCTGGAAAAGTTTTGCCTATGGATTTTTATGCAGCCTAGGCCATTTGAATAAATAGCCGTAAGCAAAGAAGTGTCAGCTTAGTCACCACTGTTTATTGTGTAAGGAGAGGGAGATCAACATGTTAGGTTAATGATAGCATCTTGTATGAAAAAGAATTGAATCACACTTCACAGTACAAGATGCCTTTATAATGTAATGTGTATCTCTGAAGAGATTTTTTTTAACTGTTCCGTTTGCTTTCTCTCGTTTGCTTTCATTCCACTTTTTTCTGCGCTTTCTACACCATTTTCAATATAATTCTATTCTCCAAACTGTCCCCCCTTCTTTTTGAACCTCATCTGCATTAATTTTTCTTAAACAAAAAAATAAATACTTCTGCTTATACTTGGCTGCATCACTGTTTATTCACCTCTCGTACCAATGGCATTTCACTAATTCATTTTCTTGCTTCTCCCTGAGAAGAGTTTGGTCGCTTAGGATTCAGCAGAGAAACAGCACGTATGTTAACTATTTAAAAGTTGATCTGGATCTTGCTTGATCACCCATTAGAACGTTCACTGACATTTCTTGCATCTTTGTATTACCTGCTACTGTGTGATGTTGCACATTCTTGAAAAAAAAAAACCAAACCACTTTTCTGTGCGAGATGAGATGAAAGAGTTTGGAAGGCTTGGAAGCTTGAGAAATTGGCTTAAGTTTGTGACTGTATAGACTGAAAAGCCTCTACTGGTGGACTTTCTGCATGGGTAGAATTGAAAGACCAGCTCCTGCAGTTCTGCAAATGAAACACAAAAGTAGTAGTGACGATATCCTTCCTTTGTCACTGTGCTGATCTGGAACAGTCTGTACTGTTCTCAACTGCATTATTATTTAAGAAGCAAAGGCAGGTTTATTATTTATCTTCTGTTTCGTATTCAGCCAGCATATAGAAAGAAAAAAAAAGCCTCGGCAATTTCAGTTGAAAAATATCATTAATCAGTGTGCATTCAACTGGACAAATAATGCTAGGAACTCAGTTCAAATTAAAAGTAAATACATCTGTAATCTATCAATTATCAGAAACGGGGGGATGCAAGAAGAAGAGAGAAGCACTGAGCTTTTTCAGCACTTGAAAATGTATTCAAAAGTCTTTCATCTTATTTAATGAAAAATTAAACACATCTCTGAAGAAATTACTATTACCCTATCCATTATTGTTCTTGACTTGTTTCCTTTTGAACACATATACTTAATAACTGACTTTCTGTACCCCTTGAGGTATTTCTAAAAGCCATTTTATGGGCTAAATGCTGTAAGAGCAGGGCAGTTTAAAAGACTTGTCCAGAAATAGTTCAGCTGCTACTTTTTTCAGCAATAGACTGTGACATCGTATTCTGCCATTATTCACAGGGTAATGATGACAAGACACTTTGTCCTGAGGAAGAACAATGAGTTTACAATATATACTTGGAGCTATAAGTCATGACCTCTGATATGTCCTTAGTTCTTCCTAATACTCTGAAGTTTATAGTCTCTGATAGAAATCTATCTATAATGGAATTATGTTAGATTTACAAACTAGAAATCTGGAAGATGCTCACCAAAAGAAATTGTGTTAAATTGACTATGGCTAACGTCATTTACTCAGCTATCTTATATATCCTGTGTTGATTTGTCTACAAATAAGACTTTAGTCAAGAACTTTGCAGACGCTTGCTATCGTTTCCATCTATCTAATTTCTTGGTGCATACAGTACTATGTATGAAATTACTAAGTTTCAAACAAATGTACATTTATCAATTTAATTTTGCAATACAATAGTAAATTACCACAACCCTGCAAGCTGTTTTATACTGAGTTACAGTTGGTAGACAATTTGGAAGTCTTAGTTATAAGTTTAGCTAAGGAAAGTAATGGTAAAAAAAATGAATCTCAGAATCATGCTCAATACAGTTACAATTAAAGAATCTACATTCTTTTTCATTTAAAAACGGCTCTGATTCGTTCTTTAAGAAAAACTTTTTTTTTAAACAGAAAACCCACTAAGTGTTTAAGGGGGGTTTATTATCTTTATTTGCACAAATGTAAGAACTGAGAGTAAAATAAATTTGTTCTGAAAGGCTTCCGAGGGCTAAGGCTGTTATTGAAATGGACTTCTGCATACATGAGTAACTATGCGAAGTGCTCTATAAAGTAAAAGTTTCAGCTGACCAGCATTTCCAGATGATGAGTTATATCCTAATGCTTATTAAAACTTTTGGGACAATCAGTGTGGGTTTTTTTCTGATATGTACATTAGAAGCACAAATCCTTAAAAGGACATACCAGTATCTGCCAATCCACAATCCATGCTGTTTTTCCCTTCTAGTTATTAGTATGACTGCACCAACATTCAGCAATGCACAGGAGTGCAGGATAGGCATAACAGTTACTACTGCTATTGTAGATTGGTTTTAAATTAACATGGTCTGCAGATTGAACATTGATTTTTACCTAAACTGTGCAATTAAAAAAAAAAAAGTTTGCAGCAAACTGAAATTGAAATATGCTAGCAGTTGGTATTGACATGGCAAGGTGAAGGCTTTGACTTTTAAAAGTCTATTTTAATCAATTTACTAACGTTTCAAAGGCCACATTGTCAAAAGATTTTGTTGTAATACCAGCAGAAAGTCTAACTAGTCAGCATGCAAAAAGCTGACATTGATATGCACAAAGCCTTTTCAGGCAAACACTTTTTAGAAATGTTGGTGACATTTGTAGTATTTTTGAATTAAAGTTTTTGTGATCACTTGTAAAGTGTCAGAAACAGGATTTTCCTACTCCTTTCCTACTTCCTTAATAGGAAAGTATAAAAACAGGACTTAATTTCAGAAACTAACTTCAAAATGAAGTCATGCTTTGTTTCTTGATGTTAGTAATAAGATCCCAGTAAGAGTTCAGGATCTGCACCGACAGATAAACTGCTGATGTTAGTGTCTGCTAAGCCTGAAGCAGTCTTAGTTCCCACTTTCCAATAGCAGCCAGAATTGTTAGCCTTGCATAAAATAGTTATCAGAAATAATTAGGGTACCAGAAAGAAAGCTGAATGTGTAGCTACAGAAGGGATCGTTTTTTGAAATTCAGTCCTTCTCCTTGAATACTTGTCATCAGAGCACTCTAAGGAAAGCTCTTTGAAGAACATTATTTGCAGTATGATCCTTACTCATTTTAAGTGGCTGCTCATGCTGCATTAGAAGCAGATGTGGTATTTGACAGACACACGCATTGTTTCTACATTTGTAAACACAACAGAAGTAACTGATGTGTTAACATCAACTACCTTCCCAAATTTTGCCAGTACTGGGACAAAATTGCTTGTATACCTTCGGATGAAAGAAAGTATTTGTCTGAAAGGGAAACCGGTAATTTCTGTCTGGAAGCAAACTTCTTCCCCATTACAGCTGTAGTGTCCAGAGGCCCTGTTGTGCAATTTGCAAAGCCATTAAGAAACAAAGGGCAACCAAGATAAGAGCTGCCATCTGAGGTCTTCAAGGATTCCACCTAGCTGGAAGAAATAGTGACTTCAGAGTTGTAAGCTCTCCTCAGTGTTCTCTCTCCTGTCACAGAGGCAGGGAATGACACCTGTCTCTTTCTCTTTGAGGACAGCATCCGTGCAACTCCTTAGCCTGAATTGCTACAGAAAACAAATCACTCTTTCTCACAGAGCTAAAAGAGAGCAACTTGTCTAAGTTGTCATAGCTCTGCTGACTCTGCTGTGCTATGTCAAATCTACAGCTGTTGATTACTTGCAGCCTCATTTTGCTAGCAGGAAGAACAGGAATCAAACCCAGAGGTAGATGTCACTAAATTAGGCTCTTTCTAGTATTTCAATTATTCCGATTATTTTTTTTCCTGGAAATTACTGGTTCCTCTGCTACTGAGTGGCCAGTGAACAGAACTTTTCCATGTTGTTCCTAATAGGTAGCTAGTTTCTGATTTCTGTGGTCTGGAAAACGTTTATGAAAACAAAAAAAAGGGTCAGTTCTTTGTTACAAAAATACTGCATTAAAGCTTTTTAGACTATTTCTGATGATATCCCTAAAATAGAAGTAACAAACATAGCATGGCTTTGATACGTTCTGGGACAAAAAGGAATTTAACAAAAAGGAACACTAACAATTGCTTCTTTGGTAGGTTTTGGTACAGAACACACATCTATTTGTTTTAACAGAAATGTTGAAATTACAGCTAAAACATGAAAAGCCATAGATTGTCTGTGGTGGCTGATGGTAGCACATTGATTAGCATACCTACTTTTCCAATACGCCAGATAAAAGATTTTAAACCTCCACCCTCTTCAATAGCTGTTTATTTCTTAGAATATTTATCTATTTTTCCTACCTGTCATAAAATAGTTATTTACATCATAGACTTTTTAAAGGAAGAAGTATTTCTTACTCTACACATCTGAGAGTTCCCAGGAGTGGAGGCAGCCTGATATTAGCAATGACATGACAATTTCTACAGTATTTCAAACTGGCTGAACTGATTTCTTTATTTTAGTATATTTTTACTTGTTTTTGACAACTTTTAGTGAACAAGGATGGGAAGCTTGGGAAAAAAAAGGCTTACGCAAATATTCTGTATATTCTGAGGCAGCACTTCAGGAGTCTGATCAAATTAATTTTATATTTTTTCTTTGAATTACTAGAAGCTATTTGGATTACATGTTCTTATAGGGACAAATTATCCTTTCAGCTACTTTATGCGCTAAGCTATAAAAATAGTAAACATAAAGCGGTGCCCCCACCTCAAGTTTACCAGGACTTTTTGTTCAAAATTTTCTCTTTACAAAAACCTTTACATTGTTCACTGCGTGTTCTTTTTCTTTGTGTAAACACTGAAGGTATTAATGTTAAGATGATGGGTTTGTTTTGGAAGGCTCTAGATTTGGCAGCCATTGCCACTGAGCACGCACAATTCAAGGACTGGTGGTGGAAAGTCCAAATTGGGAAGTGCTACTATAGGTAAGCCGTTGTTCATTTCTTCTATGATCAGTGAGTATGAGTGCGGGACCTGAACTGCTGGGTGCATTGCGCAATGCTGAACACTGAGAAATAGTTGAGTAGGTATTTAGTTGGAGAGCGCTGTGCTTACAGTTAAATCTCCTTTAATATACAAGGAGATTATGTTCAACTGCTTGAGGTAAAGGCATCAACATAGAGTACCTTTAAGTAACTGAATTAGTTGCATCTTCACCTTTGTTAATGTGTTTCAAAGTCATTATTTGAAAAGTTAGTAAATAAATGCAAAGAACTGTTGTTAAAACAGACCACACAAAATGAATATTACAATATTAGCTTGAAAAATTAACTGTCAATGAGGGCTTCAGATTGATGAAATAATAATAAAAAAAAATATTCACATTAGACACTTTCTGCCAGAGGTACATTTCCCAAGAAAGAAGTACCAGTTCCAAAGATGCCAAGGCCTCAGGGCTGGCACCCCATACCCGAGCAGCTGATACAAGTGACTTAGGAGTACCCCAACACTGTGCAGCGATATTAAAAGAAAGAGTGGCAACAGTGGGGAGGAGAGCTTGTTGCAAGCAGTTCAGAGTGGTTGCTGAGGATCTAGCTAAGCTTGTAACAGCCAGTTCTACCAAATCAGGTGAAACTCCTCCTGATACAACCCTGCTTCCCATAATTCAAACAAGTACTGAGGCAGCTCCCCCTTTCATTCTTCACAATGTGTTTGTCCCATGAATGTAAAACATATGGAACCATATTGGTTGTTAAAAAACTGAAGCATCATCTGCAGTCTTTAGAATTCTATAAGCAGTCCTTGTATGAACAGGCTGATAATACAAAGCAGTTAACCCTTTAAAATTCCATGTTGTATCTTGGCTTGAAACTATTGCTTCTTTTTAGATGCCCAAACTAATGAAATTCTTCACTATCCTTAACTTTTATTTGCCATTCTTTAGAAGATTTTACTGATTTTTTTTTTTTTTTTTTTTTTTTTTTTAGCTTAGAGGTCATTCATCACTTTCAGGATTTTTATGAATAGTGTTATAGAAACTAAAGCATCCAAGCAGGCACATGTATTTCCAGGATCCAGAATGACCTTATGACCCCATTGACTGTGTTTCTTTGTTTTGGCTGACTTGTTCCGGGTGTGTTTTGTGTTTCTTCACCAAGTATATGTGCTCTTTGGCTGAAGGAAAGAAAAGGCAATTTGCATATGAGAAAGTGTACCTTTTTGCTGTTGTTGAAATGGTACAATCCTCTTAATTTTGTGGTCTATATAGCATTTATAGATTACTGCAAAATATTCTACAGTAATGCTGCAAAACAAATGCTTTTGAGATGAAGCAGACTTCTGTGAGGTTCATGTGCTATATACTGCCCCCTCCCAACTTATCTGCTTGGAAGGCTTAAGCTGTGGTGCTGTTTACAATATGGCATGTTTCCAACACACAGTTAAAGATTTTTAATATCAGCAGCAGAAATTTCACCATTTCCCATACGAGGCTAGGTGAAAGTGGTTTAGAGATGATTAACCATTCCCTAAACTTTACAGTGGAGAGTATCTACATGATCTTTGTCACGAGTGAGGAAATTCTGCTCCAAAACCATGTGGGTAGAGGTTGAGGTGTGACTTTAATTGCTCATTTTCTACTGTCCATTCTGTACAAAGAGCAGGAAGGAGTCCTATGAAAATGAGTACATCGTTATTCAATTAGCACCAGAAGGCTGCATGTACAAAAGGGGGCCAAATTTCATTAATTTGCCTTTTTCATAGTTTTGAATGGTTGCTTTGTAACCTTAATATATTTAACAGCATGGGTTTTGTTAACATGCACACAAATATATGACCTTAAAGTATGCTTTTGGGCAGTTCATGTTTGTTTTACTGTGCACTGCTTCATTATTTAATAAGCTTTTCTTTAAAAAAACCCAACCAAACAAATACCTTCTATATCTATCTGTTGTCTCTTTAGGTTAGGATTATATCGTGAAGCCGAAAAACAATTTAAGTCAGCTCTCAAGCAACAGGACATGGTTGATACAATCTTGTATTTGGCAAAAGTAAGTCATAGATTTGCTTGTTTAAGAATTAAGTGAAATTCCAGACTATCCCTGAGAAGTCCATACACCAGAATAGCTGAGTATTGAGCTTGATACACCATTAAGTTTAATAGTCTGTGATCTCCATATAGACCTGAGACAATACATGCTAACAGCTGAAATTGAGACTATAGTTTACAAAAAGATTTTGGAGCTTCCAGATTTCATTTAAAAAAAAACCCAAACCCAAACAACTCCTTCGTTACTGTATTCTTTGCTCTAAACTCCAATGAGGATTATATAGCTAAAGAATTATTGGAGTTCCAGTATGAAGAACAATATAGCTATATATGGTCTCCTAGGAAACTAATGCAATAAATCAGGAAGCAAAGAGTGAAGTTCAAAATCCTAATTTCACAACCAAAATCAAAACAAAGTGAGCTTAAAGGAAGCAATCGGAGACCTTGAAACAGAGAATGTTCTGTCAAAGTAAAGGCATTAAAAGCTTTAAAAGAACAAGTGGCACAGCTAAGCCTCACAATTACTTGTTTACCAGGGTACACATCAGATTCTAAACATTTTCCAAGACATTCAAGAAAAGGTGGCCTATGAGAAACTAAAACTGCATTTTTCTTCCTCTTGTCCTAGAAGGAGATGAAATCAGTTGCTCTTTATCAGCTCCCTTTAAGACAGCTGTCACAGGCCTATCCAAAAGTCATCACTGCTAGAGGATAATTCAGATATTCATACTATGATACTTGCTTTACCTTTACATTTCTTGAGCAATTTACGTTTTGCATTTAAATGATCATCATTGCTACCTGGAGACTTGTCTTCAGTACAGGAGTTGGAGTTAGTTTACTCAACTGAGCTTAGTAATTTTAGATTTCTGTCACTACCAGTCGTTCTGCAAAACATTGGAGCTACGGAGTGATTAAATTGGCAGAGTAATTGGATTAACAAACAGTGATTAGTTATGGGAGATATGCATCCCCCCACATCATTACTAGCTCGGGTAGGAGCTGCATTTGAACTCCCACTCCACAGACCAGCTTGCTCAAGTATAAAGCATTGCACAACATGATTTAGTGACTGTGGGTGGACAGGCAATAGAGCAGGGCACTGAGATATAGCTCAATCTGACAGTACTGAAAAGATAAGACTGGAGTTAAGCAGCCATTAAAAAAATAATAGGATTGCATCAAGTTCTGTGCAAACAGATGGATACTACAGTACCAATTAGTTTTCTGTTTATATTCATTATTACAACAGCTATCTGGGTTTTTAAAAATCTTTTCCTGAAAGCTAATTCTCCCTTGAAATGTAATTTATGAAAAGATAAAAGACCAAAAGAAAACTTCTTTAAAGAAGTTGGGGCTGCTGAGAAGTTACAAAGTATTTCATGACCCAGAAGAGCTGGTAATGGGATATTTTTAGCAGAGATAAGAGAGATACCAAAAAGAAAATGGAGCCATTCTGCGTTTAGCATCTAAAACTTACTGACTATAGCTATAGTACTTTTAAAGAGCAGGTCTCCCCAAAGCAGCTGCAAGTAGGTGGAAGTTGTCCCGCCTATCTTTTAATTTCTTTTGCCAGTCATCTGGACAGCAGTTCTACAGTCTGCAGAGATGTTGGACAGTGTGATACGCCACTGGATATGGGAATTACGTAGTAGAGTACTGTGGCTGTGTTGCCTTAGCGTAATATTTGCACAGAGGATCTGTAGTGAGTGCATCTTTGGAGTGAACCTCCAGATGAAGCAATTGAGCAGACTTGAGTCAAAATGCTCAGAAAACATACTTCATAAACAAACGTAAAAAGATAAAAAAGGAGCAGATCTGGTGGAGTTTCCTGTCCTCCATTTTTTACATTTTTTCCCTAAGATTATGAAGATAGCTGTGCTTCATAGCTAGATCAGATCAAAAAACAAGCAAGCAAACAAAACAAAAAACCAGCTAATTAAAATTTTCTCTCAGTTCAAACAAAGAAAATATGAAATTATTTGTAGGTATGGCAGTGTGCACTGGCTTACTACACGTATTTAGGATAAATTGTACAAGTCAGTCACATAGGTGATACTTAGGAATAAAACAACCAGCCAAAGTTCTTCTTAATTAAGAAGTCATACCCAGCTGTCATGTATTGTCTTTCATCTGTGTACTTTCCACTGAAACTCTTCACAGAGTAATTTAGTTGTAGAAAACTGTTGCTAGAAGAAAATAAGGAGTGTGACAGTCACAATGGAGACAATTACTTAAAGTTTAAAATTTAATGCAGACATAAAATTCATCAGAAACGGCTGCATGGTTTATAAATGAAAAACTGTAGCAAATGACTTGAAGTCTCTTTTAGATACAGCAACATGCCCAGATAGAGTGCATTAGGTATAAATTGATTTAAAGTGTATTAATTGATGGTGTCATTAGTGCAGTCCTAGTCTACCAAGTACCATGCCCCCCAGAAAAACCAAACCCCTTGCTCTGTTATTGCTTTTCACAAGAAGGAATTAGTTTTCTAGCTTAATACAGGAAATGCAAGTGACATTGGCAAAATGACTGGAAAAAATTGCCTGTAGTTTTTTTCTTTTTGTCAGTGATCCACTTGAAATGGCAGTCCCTTTACTAAGGAGGCACTCACAGCCAACAGCTCTTTGACAATTAAGAATGTCACTTGAGTGGTCATAGGAAAGAATTCTTTGCAAATGTCTACAGCAGTATATATCTATAGGGATGCAAATAAAGAACTTATGACTTTAACTAGTATTTTGATTGTCGGCACTCAAAAGTCCATGAAGCTCAAGGGCAGAAGCAGAAAATGTGTTTGGAGGTTTCTCAGGTGTGCCATTAATGTTGATATTTTCCTTACATTGCATCACAAAATGTTTGTGTCAGGATACCAGTCACAGATGCTTTCCCTTTTTTAGTCATATCAAGTATTAACACTATTTAATGTAATATTTATCCTACAGGAGCACTCAAAACACTTTTCCACTCAGTGGGAGACAGATTAATCGCTCTAGCCATCTAGTTTCCCAAAGCAGGTGTGTGGGGTTTTTTCCTTTGCTGTAGCTGTGTTTACCATACCCCACAACAGGAGGACTTTACAGTTTTACTCTCAGACAGCTGCAGAGGTGGTCTCTATCAACACGTTGATGTCCTCTATCCAATTCTCACACAACGTTATCCACATCACATCTTGTTCATAATCAACACAGAAGCCAAAATCGCAGAGACCAAACTGCCCTCTTTCTGTTACGGGACTTTATTGTTTGTGACAGGGGAGGATGGCAGAGCAGTAAGGAAATTTGAAAGTGTCACTGCTCTGTGCAGTGCAGTCTTACTTGACTAAGTAAAATATTTTGGTATTCCAGCACTATCAACCTGAAGATCTGGTTCTTTCAAGCCTAATCATGAGTTTTTAAAAATATATTAAACAGGAAAATATTCAAGGTGGTACCTTCACCTCAGTGTCAAAGTATATTATTTTGATATGATAATAAATAACAAGATACTTTTTTGGTTAATTAGTAATGCCCAGATGAATTAATAATGTCTAGATGATATGCATGCAAATTTAATTATCTTAATTAGCCTATTTTATCTTCATTACAGAGATTTATTCCGTATTCACTCCATTATTTTCCCAGTATTATTCACTATCTCAGCTAACGGTTTACTGCATAAAGGGAGGTGTCATCCCTTTTATTTATCTCCCTTGTCAAACAGCAGTAGAAGTATAAAAGTCAGACTTTTGACGTTTATATACACTTTTTATTTGCTTAGGTGTATGTGCGCTTGGATCAGCCTGTAACAGCTTTGAACCTTTTCAAGCAAGGGTTAGATCGATTTCCTGGAGAAGTGACTCTTATTTGTGGAATTGCCAGAATCTACGAGGTATGCACCCACTATACAATCCTTATTATAGCCAAGGTTAGCTGCCTGAGCAAGAAAAAAGAGCCAATAGTTGAAAATAACCGTAAGGTCATCAAAAATTAACTATGTTGATTTTCGGTATCACTAATGCAAAACAGGTAACATTACACACAAAGATACCAAAGTAATGTCGGGGGAGCCTTGCAGGCTTATTTGTTTAAATGGTTAATCACACTAGTGAGACCCTATTTACCCTTGACACACAGAAGCAAGTCCATGTTAAGTCAAGTGGTCCAGATGTTGTCCATGTAGCTAGGTCTAGTTTATCTATGTTTTATCGTACTAAAACTGCTCAAGTCACCAACAGCCTGCTAGCAGGATTAAATAGCAAAATAGTGTACTCGTCAATGTTGTCTTTATTGGCACTATGTGTTACTGTTAGTTTCTTAAGCCAGTGAGAACAGCTGGAATGTGAATGTTTCTTAGTTTAGGAAGTAGATGTTATTTTAAGTAGGATTAGTTTTAAAGTAGTTTCATTTTAGCTTGGTAACCATGTATTTTGTATTTTAAAAGTGTGTATTTTCATGTCAAACAGTGGACTTAATATTGTTTTTCACTGAAAGTTGGTAATGATGCTATTCCAGAACAAACATTTTAAACAAAGTCACGAATTTTTTTTTTTTGTCTACATTCATACTTGGCATTCTTTCCTGTTCCCATCATTCTCATCTAACCCCTAAGCATTAATCCATTTTCATATTAAATCCTTTTTGTCCTTCAGCAAGGAAGAAAACAGCTGCATAATTTTTGGAGGCTTTTCCTTCTGAATTGTTGAACAGTTTTTAATATGGATATTATTTTGCAGAACCATACATAACATTGCATAACCCTGTAAGGAATTATTAAAGGGCAGCATATAGTTGACAGGATCTAGTTTTGCACTGGCACCCGAGTGCAGGATTATAGCTTCATTAGCAAAGATTTGTACTGCAGCACAGGCCTGTTCTCATTACATAGACTCACAGGTGGAATATATGCATCAGGCATCTTACTCGGAGATTTTCTTCTCTGTCACTACCTTTTGACAGTAGGAAGAGTTGTAGACCTTTTTTGGTTTGATTTTAAAAAACCTTTATTTTTAAAGGGACTGCTTTAGTACTATTTCCTTTAATTACAAGAAATACATTTTTTCATAGCTAAATACGCTGCTGAGGTTAAATAAAAGCATTCTTTAGTCATGTTGAAAGTACAGTGTATCTACGGTACACAGGTAGAAATTAATCCTCTCTAAACACAGAAGCGTGTTTTGGTCTTTTAATTTATTTCTTCTGATGTGGGGCAGAGTCCTCTGCTGACTTGCACTCCTCAGAAACAGTGTGACGTTATTTACAGCAATGAGGTCACCCTAATTCATCTTCCAAGTAGCACACATCCAAGCTAATATTTTTATATAATATAGTTCTCTTAACTGGCATATCCGAGCTAGTACAAATTTTGGTAATAAATCCACGATTCCTGTTTTCAGAGGCACGTAATAATTCTTCATATGCAATTATATTCTCATTTGTGCTCAGAGCAATTCATGAGTTGACTTACAAAGCACTGAAAATAATTTGAGACACTGGCTGGGGAAATAAGTCTACTCTGCGTTACCATACTGGGAGAACGACTGCACAGCACTGTGTATCACAAGGCATTGTGCAAAAGGTAGCAAATGCCTATTGCACATGCTAAGCTTCTGACCAACCTTTTTTTCTAAAAAGTAAAAAACAACTCGCAGAGCCGAGTGCAGGCGCGTCCTGCCGCAGAGCGGCAGATCGCGGTGTACAGGGGGGTGTCCTCAGCCGGGGAACCCACAGGGGAGCGCAGAGACCCGCCGGGAGCCGGCAGCTCTCACCAGGGCGGCTGACGAGGCGGGGGCGGGGCCAGGAGCGACAGCGGCAGATTTAAACGCGGTGTAACCGCCACCAACTGTCACTCGCAGAGGCGATCATCGCAAAAATGATCAGGGGCTGGAACACCCCTC